TGGCGGGTGTGGATTGTTGTGATCGTGGTTGTTGGTTGATGTATAGTTGTACGATAGCCTTGTAAATAGAGGAACCAAGATTAAAAGCCTCATCTGAGAGACGCCTGTTTGAAGAGTCTCTGTACTCTTTCTGGAAGGGGAGAGGTGCTTCTCCAGCTCACAAGCTACTGCCTGCATCTGAGAAGGTGGTGACCCTGGTGCCACACATTGATGTGGATCATCACAGTCTGCGTAACCACACTAACAAGTGATATATAGGAATTCCGATTTATGAGTAACATTAGTACAAAAACCAGTAGTGAGGATTCTGCATGGTGAGCAGGTCAATGGAAAGGTGACACCAGAAGCTACCAGTTCCAAGTTTCACCCAGGGATGCTAAGCCTAGTGATTCCACTGCCCCTACCTGATCCAGACTCTCAGAAGCTGTTCTCAGAGCGTCAGAATTAAGAGCTGAGCCAGTAGTTCTTGGCCCTGGCAGTCTTCTATCTCCTGGAGGGACACAAAAGGCAAAAGTGAACCTTCTTTACCATTCCTTCAGTTACTGATTTTTTTCTTTCCAAATTCAGCCCAACAAACCCAAAGCCATATGTTTTAGATGTCTTTGTTGAGTAACCATGTGGTTGCCAGAGATGATTACCAGCTTGGTAGACGAAGGGAATGCTGTGGATATAGTATATCTTGATTTCAGTAAGGCCTTTGACAAGGTTCCCCATGACATTCTCGCAAGAAAGTTGGTAAAATGTGGGCTAGACATTTTAAGTACCTTACATTTTACAGTACCCATGTACAGTACCCTTACAGTACCCATGACATTCTTGCAAACAAGCTGGTAAAATGTGGGCTGGACAAAGTAACTGTTACATGGATTTGTAATTGGTTGACTGGCCGAACCCAAAGGGTGCTCAACAATGGCTCCTTTTCAACTTGGAAAGAAGTGACCAGTGGGGTGCCACAGGGCTCTGTCCTGGGCCCAGTGCTATTCAATCTCTTTATCAATGACTTGGATGACGGTATTGGGGGCATAGTTATCAAATTTGCAGACGACACCAATTAGCAGGAGTAGCTAATACCCCAGAGGACAGGATCAAAATTCAAAATGACTTGAACAGACTAGAAAGTTGGGCCAAAGCTAACAAAATGAAATTCAACACAGAGAAATCATAGAATCATAGACTCAGAGTTGGAAGAGACCACCAGGGCCATCCAGTCCAACCCCATTCTGCCATGCAGGAACTCAAAATCAAAGCATCCACGACAGATGGCTATCCAGCCTCTTAAAGCCTCCAAAGAAGGAAGCGCCACCAAAATCTCCGAGGGAGTGTGTTCCACTTTCAAACAGCTCTCACTGTCAGGAAGTTCCTCCTAATGTTGAGGTGGAATCTCTTTTCCTGTAGCTTGCATCCATTGTTCCAGGTCCTGTCCTCTGGAGCAGCAGAAAATAAGCTAGCTCCCTCCTCAATATGACATTTCTTAAACAGGGCTATCATATCACCTCTTAACCATCTCTTCTCGAGGCTAAACATACCCAATTCCCTAAGTTGTTACTCATAAGGCATGGTTTCCAGACCCTTCACCATTAGTCGCCCTCCTCTGGACACGCTCCAGTTTTTCAACATCCTTTTTGAATTGTGGTGCCCAAAAGTGGACACTATTATTCCAGATGGGGCCTGACCAAAGCTTTTCATTTTAATTTTTTTGCCCTAAGTGCAGTACCTTACATTTCTCTGTGTTGAAATTCATTTTGTTAGCTTTGGCCCAGTTTTCTAATCTATTAAGGTCATTTTGAATTGTCATCCGGTCTTCTGGGGTATTAGCTATTCCTCCAAATTTGGTGTCATCTGCAAATTCGAGAAGCATGCCCCCTATTCTTTCAGAAGTTGTCTTTTCATCAAACTAGGTATGGAATTAAATTTCCACTCTTTATTTGTACACTCTTTATATGTACCTGTGGACCCTCACAGGCTGTGTTGTCAAATCACCTCTTGCTCCTTGCAGCCTCCACATCCCTTTGGGTGTCTGACTCGATGTGGTGTCACACAAGACCTGCCCAGTCAGATTCATTGCAGTTCATCCGTTGGTGTACTTGCTTTGATGTCACTAGAGAAGCCTGCCATCTTTGACACGAGGTCTTTTGGTACCTCAGAAGTGGAAGAAGGAACATTGCTCAGTGGTAAAACACTTGCTTTACATGCAAGTGATCCTGGGTTCAGTCCTCAGAATCCTCATATGAAATCAGAT